AGTGTAGGAGGTAAGGGGAGGTGGTAAGTGTAGGAGGTAAGGGGAGGTGGTAAGTGTAGGACATAAGGGGAGGAGGTAAGAGTAGGACATAAGGGGAGGAGGTAAGAGTAGGACATAAGGGGAGGAGGTAAGAGTAGGACATAAGGGGAGGAGGTAAGAGTAGGACATAAGGGGAGGAGGTAAGAATAGGACGTAAGGGGAGGAGGTAAGAATAGGACGTAAGGGGAGGAGGTAAGAATAGGACGTAAGGGGAGGAGGTAAGAATAGGACGTAAGGGGAGGAGGTAAGAGTAGGACATAAGGGGAGGAGGTAAGAATAGGACATAAGGGGAGGAGGTAAGAATAGGACATAAGGAGAGGAGGTAATAATAGGACATAAGGAGAGGAGGTAATAATAGGAAATAAGGGGAGGAGGTAAGAGTAGGAAGTAAGGTGAGGAGGTAAGTGTAGGAAGTAATGGGAGGACGTAAGAGTAGGAAATAGGGGGAGGAGGTAAGAGTAGGAAGTAAGGTGAGGAGGTAAGAGTAGGAAATAAGGGGAGGAGTTAAGTGTAGGAAGCATGGTGTGGGACATGTTGGAATGCGGCCCTACCTTGTGTCGACTCGTCATCCAGTTCCTGATGGTCGGGACCAGGAGGGACCCCAGCAGGATCTGGGCTGGATGGTAGATGAGGAGGGGGACAGAGATCAGGGACAAGTGCTCGTATCCTTCAAAGACGATCTTCAACATGGGGATACCTGAGGAGGAGGAGGAGGAGGAGGAGGAGGAGTCTGATGATTGTCCAACAGAACAGATTTAAAGACAACAAATCAAACATGTCAGGGTTTTTAATGCTGACTCAGCGTTTCCTGTGGCTTCAACAAGTCATACCCAAAGTGAGGGACTTGTGCGTGGAGCAGAACATGATGGCCACCGTGTCTGAAGGACTGAACCCTGAGCTGGACCTGAAGAGTCAAACAGGAAGTCAGAGCTGTGGATCAGCAGGAAACAGGAAGTTAAATCAGAGAAGGTTCTGGAGGAGGAGCCACTGACTCACCTGGTGGAGATCATGAACGTGAGCAGCAGGAAGCTGATCTGGATGGAAAAAACTGCAGAAGAAAAAAAAAGAAACAGTTTAAAGAAAAAAAACACAACCCAGGCCAAAACCAGAGTCCAGGACCAGTTACTGACTGATGAGGACCACCAGGAGCAGGCTGGAGGGGTCCAGCTCGATGCTGGGGTTACTGAAGGTGTCGCAGAACGTGGTGTAGATGATCATCAGGAGGACCGCGCTGCTGATGGCGCCGAACGGAGGCTTCCTCCTCTCCAGGAAGTCCCTGAGGAACCCACGGCACACCTGAGCCACAGAGAGGGGGAGAACCAGGAGATCACAGAGAGACCTGGATCCCAGACCTGACCCAGGATCAGAACAACCTACCTGACCCAGGATCAGAACAACCTACCTGACCCAGGATCAGAACAACATACCTGACCCAGGATCAGAACAACCTACCTGACCCAGGATCAGAGGAAACTACCTGACCCAGGATCAGAAGAACCTACCTGACCCAGGATCAGAGGAACCTACCTGACCCAGGATCAGAGGAACCTACCTGACCCAGGATCAGAGGAACCTACCTGACCCAGGATCAGAAGAACCTACCTGACCCAGGACCAGAGGAACCTACCTGACCCAGGATCAGAGGAACGACGACGGTCATGAAGAGCTGAGAGAAGATGGAGGAGAAGGGGACTGAGGATGAGGAGCCGAGCTGGAGGAGATGAAGAATCGAGTCAGACTCAGTTAAAACATCAAACGTTTGGTTTTGTTCTCAGATCTTTAGACTAAGAGTTTGTTGAAGCTACCTGCAGCAGGTAAGACACTTACTGCTCAGAACATCTCTTTAATCTGAACTGTGGCTTTAAAAGATAATCTGGAGTTTCTTCATCAAACCAGCAGAGTTTACAGATAAACATGAGATTTATCTCCAGACTAACGGTTCATGTGGACTTTTTATTGTGTAAAAATAAACCGTGTTTGACTCACAAAGAGCAGCAGCAGCAGAGGCGTCACCACGATGCCCTGCAGGAAACACACACAGTTACAACTCACACCTGCACAACTTCAAAACACAAACTCGTCCCGAACGCCGCCGGTCTCCTACCAGGAAGCTGCCGAAGGCTGAGTTAAAGATGGCGGCAGCCTGGGAGGAAACAAAAACAAGGTTTGTTACAAAGACAGCAGCTCTCCTCACAGAGCGCTCACACAGACACTCGCCTCGTTTCCTCCGACGGCTTTGGTGAGAATAACGGCTGAGGACACCGGAGGAGGCATGCAGCTCACCGTCTGCAACCTGCAGGGCAGGAGGAAGAGCGAGGATGAGGAGGGACAACTCTAAACATGGCAGGGATCATACTGTAGATTTAAAGTGGGCTGATTATGCAAAGC